AAAAAAAAAAAAAAAAAAAAAAAAAAAAAGACCATCATTTCTCTTCCTTCACGTACTCAAAACCCTAACCTGTCACTTCTGGCACAACTTCAACTCTCTAGTTGGTGTTCTTTGGCAGGCTACTTGCACAACTCTTTCACCTTCTTCTCTGATTTATGCAATGTCAAAACCCTAGTAAACTAATGTACAAATTTTTAAATCACATATAAGCGTACGAATCCATAATAAGGCTCCAAAATATTATTTATCTTGAAAAGATTATTATGATTATTTTTCAAATAAATTTCTTGTCCTAAAAAAATTTTAAAGAGTTTGCAAAAAAATAGAATTCAAAAATTATTGTGGCATAATAATAATAATAATAATAATTATTATTATTATTGTTTATTAGTATTTGACAATTGCTCATTGCTTATTTTGAGTAAGTGATTTTATCAAATCAGGATTTGTTACAAATCCCTTAAACATAGGTGTTGTTAGTCTAAACTCATTGTTTGTTTTTGATAATATAAGAAAACTATAGTATCGTATTATAACAAACCATACCAAACAAAAATAATGATATTATTATTGAGAAGTACGATTTAGATTTAAATATCAAAAAATGGGAAAAAAAAGTATTATAATATAAATTTTATGAAAAAATTAAATCGTGCTCCTAACAATACCCTTCTCAAGCCCCTTTGCTCAAAATTTAAGGAATGTTAGTTTGGAGGGACTTCCTTCAAGCTTCAAATTTCAGTCATAAGACAGTATTTAATTCACAAACTACCGGAAGGCTTTGAATCCTTTCAATTCAATTCCTCCTCAAACTTCATTATGAGTTTCAAGAGATTTTTGGGGAAGTCTATTTTTTTTCATTTTTCATTTTTTATTTTTTATCAGCATTATTTTTTCAAAAAAAAAGCTACACATTTCAGACTTGAAAACCAAAAACAAAAAGTAAAAAACCTTCTTATGACATATTTAAAAACGGCCGAGAAAGAAAATAACTGAAAAAATGTTTCTTTTAATTCCTATATCAGAGAAAAAAAACAATAAAAGGAACAGAAATCCAACTTTTTGAAGTAACAAAGAAAACAAATGCGCAAAAATATATGATGCAAAGAGAAGAATATCACATTCGCTAACATGATTTAAAAAAGAAAAGAGAGGAAAAGAAAAAAAAAAAACTGTCTAAGAGGGCACCTTACCCCATAAAAAAGGACATTCAAGCTAAAATGGGATTAAGTTTAACAGATTTAAAAAATAATAATAATTTAGAAGGCAAAAAATGCAAAACGGCAGCAAACCCTTCTTCTGCATCCAATTCCAGGAAGTGGAGCACATTCTTGCAAATTTCTGTCACAAGAATGATACAGGGATGAGATAAATGATGAAAACAGATAATTGGCCACGCAAGAATATAGACAGAATTCAAATTTGAGGGACAAGAAACAGTGTTGCGATTAAACTCACAAAATTTTGTTGAAGGCAACAATATCACAACTCTGGACATACTCATTCCACTGGTTCAGCCGTGAGATGATCCCTCAATGAGATTGTCAACAGACACCAAGTCATCCACAATTGTTAACATAATCTGCATTTTCTTGATACCATACCCAACAGGCACAAGTTTGGCTGCAAACATCAAATGCTCATAAGTCATTTTCCAAATCTCGGACTCAAATGCATATCTCACTCGATTGAACATCAGGAAGAGAAACATACAAGCTCCCCAAAGTAATCCTTCCATCTGAACGCCTCTAACTGCCTCTTCAAGTTTTTTCATGTCAGTCTCATCATCCCATGGCTTCACATCCATTAGAACAGAAGACTTTCCAGCTGAGGAAGAAAATCACAATAAATTATATTTACTGGTTTAAAACAATAATAGAAGCAAGAAAAAAGAACCCCTGACACAGAGAACAATATTTTCCACAATAACTAGTAGGCCCAGCAACTATGTTGAGGCAGATTATACTGAATGATAGTGCAGAGAGTTCACATTGATAATATGCTAATAACTCTGCCAAGGTTTTCTATTTAAAGTATCCTCGCCAATGCTACAAGGGTCCATAGACTCTCCAGCCTTCCTTAAAATTTACCCATTTCTCACATCTACACAGATTTTCATATAAAGGTGATTATAAATTATGATTACTAATGCATGTACAGGTGACTATAATTACTAATGCATATCACTCCACTTCTGGTGCCTCACTATATAAGAAAAATGAAAACCTGCCTAGTGTATAAATATACAAGATAGAAACACTCACACTCTTTTCTTTTTTCCAGAAGCCTTCACTGCTGCTGCACGTTCTTCAGCTGCCTTCTTTTCTCTCAGTCTCTTCACCAAAGAGATCCACATCATCATCATCATCATCTTCAGCAGCAGAAGCCTGAATAAAATTCCATTTGGGTGAGAATAAAGCAAATTTTCAAAATAATTAATAAGCAGAGGTTAAGAGTGCTAGATAATAAAAAATGCAATCCAACACAAACATGTACACCAAAATCAAGAAAATATAAGCTAATTAACAATGACAAAAATGTATAGAAACTGACTTAGTGTCAGCAACAGCAGAAGTTGCAAACAGCCTCTTCAATAACTGGAGCAGATCCCTCAATGGTGACACCACAACTTTCTCCAGAAACACCACTGCATTCCAGAAAGGAACAATTTGATGTACACAAAGAGGATGGGAACTACATTACTAGAAAACTAATTTTCTTGCATCCAAATAATAGCGCCTCTAAATACACTCCAACTGTAACTGCACCAAATAATCAATAAAACTTACCAAATCCTTAAAAGTGCTTCAATGTGATTGTACCACCGAGACACATTCACATACTCAGACGATGGAGGCTTTGAAAGAGCTGCATGAACAGTGATATCATCCTTTGAGGCTTGATATCTGAGAGGATAAATTAGCAAAATTAAAAGCAAAAAAATGTCAAGGATCCATGCACAAAAGGAGGAAAATAAACAACAACTATAATTTTCAACAGATACAATTTTCAGTGAATCAACAGAACGACACACTACCCTGTAATATAACTCCGTGTCAAAAGGTACTCATCGAGCTTTTTGAGGCCAGATGGTGAGTTTGACACCGGAGAAGGTAACAGCCATTTCCTTTAATGTAGTGATTTGCCTCTACAACCATACAAAAAAGCATATATAAGTTTCTATCTAGATATAATTCGCAATGCAATCAAAATGTCTAGATGTAAGAAGCAAAATTGAATGTGCGCAACAACTTGTAACAATCAAACAATTCTTACACCTGTGAGTGAGTGGATACATTTCTGACAAAATAGCCACACAATTATTATTCACAGAGGGTGGCCTACAATTTTGCATGATATAGTTGAAAATTACAAAATTCCCCCATTGTTTCCAATTCACTTGATCGTGACCAATAAAATTTAGCGAACCCTCCCGTGTCGACATCCTCAAATAACCTTATCCTGAACTTGCATAAAACACATAGCATATCCACCATGAACACGAGCAACATAGCTAATGTCTCAGCAAAAGTTGAAAATTTCCTCTCGACCAACAATAATGCAATATCAAAACATAAAACATTAGTTGCCATAGTCATCGAATTCGACCATCTAAAAGTGTTTGCAGCCTATTTACAGTAAACAATCGATCGAGAATCCCCATGGCACCCAATACCTGGTCAAAATATACTGCGAATAATGGTTATATGGAGAGATCCAAAGAAAAACTTACCGGCAGCGACTGAGTTATGTGCTTTTATCGAGAGATAGTGAAAAAGACTCTAGCAGGGTTTCTACTCCAACCGCGGAGATGGTCTCGTAGGGCTTATGCGGAATCCAACATGAGTATTATCGGCTGTTTCCCTCCCAGGCTTGTAATTTACAAAATGTCACTGTATATTTGAAGATATTCAATTTTGGTCCTAGCCGGGAAAAAAAAAAATAGTAACAATAATTTCAATCTTAGGTTACAATTTTAAAATTTGACTAAATATGGCGAATCCCAAACTACAGTTTTAAATATTAAAGCTTTTTTTAATAAAAAAAATGTGTTTGGAAAAAATGATTTTAAGAAAATAAGTTTGAAATGAATCAATTTTATTATTTTAGTTGTATAAAATGGTAAATTGAGTTAAAAATTAATGTCTAGTTAATTTTTTTTGTTTTTTTTATAATATTCATAATATATTTAAAATAAAAATATTTTTATTTTTAATTTTTTTGGGTAGAACAAATTGTATTAGAATTTGTTTAAGTCAAGATTACACTAAATAAATGTAACAAGTAAATTCGAGTGACAGTATCTAAGTTGTGCATAAAGTGATTTTGTTGCTAAGTTAATTTACTACACTTACAACAAAAAAAACAAGTTTCAATCATTTTTTTATTCCTAAAACATAAAAACTATTTTAGAATAAATAAAATTGACTTTACTAAAGAGTGAATATATTCAATTTCCATTCATCCTTCTCTTATCTTTGAATCTCCCTCAATTTCAATGGAGCAATGTTAATCAAGATAACACAATTTAATTTTCACAAATTTCTCGCATATCCTTCTTAATCTCTCAATTTCACATTCGATCTCTTGATCTTTTTATCCCTATTACTTTTTTTCACCTCTCTCTCTCTCCCTCTCTCTATTTTACTATAAAAAAAAAAATTCCATATTAGTACTAATCAACAAAAAGGGAAAAACAAGAGTGACATCAATAAATAATGAAAATAGTTTAGAGGCAATGTTGAAAAACGATTGGCTAGTAAGAGCTAGGAGAAAGATATTGATCCAGACCACTGGATTAGTGAACTCCATTTATGATAAATCGATAACAATATTAACATTTGATACTAGTCTAGTAAATACAAAAACTACTAATATATTAAATCAACAACTGGTATCAAATACTAAAACTATTAATATATTAAACTAAGACCTGATATCAAATACAATGTTTGGAACATATAATAATCCATCATCACATCCTCCTATACATGAGAGCCTATGCTCCATTAGCATTTTGAAGGTAACTAGATAGGTGATGGATGACAATGTTGACCACAAAGCCAGCTGTGATTATCACATTAAGCTCAGATGGCAAAGCAAGACCAGAGTGAAAGTACATAGGAATAACTAATACTAATACCAGAGTGAAAGCAAATAGGACTATCATTTACCTCATTCAGCATATAAAAACAGTCCAACTTTTTCATGATTTTGCAGTATTAGTAATATATGGTAAATCAGTCACTCAGTGTCTTATTTGGCAGAGCAACATCAAAACCACACAAGGAGGTGTGGTCTGAAATGATGCTACCGTTTCTCCATAGCTCTTTGGTGGCTACATTGCATACTTCTCAATCATCCTCATTCAATAAACTCCTGATAATTTCTACTAGTTTAGACAGCGAGAGCAGTAAAAACATGCAATCATTCCCATTCACTAAACTGATGATAATTGCCACTAGTGTAGAACTACAAAAAGTCTTCAGAGGCCAAAAGAATCCTCTTCAGTCCATTGCGGCTTTACCCTCGTCCCCTTTGCATAATAGCAGTAATTCAGTTGAAGGAGCAGTTAGATCTTGCTCCCACAAACTTCAACATATGAAGAAATGCAATCTATAGATTTTTTTTCACACACTTTCAGAATCTCACACATCTAATAATGCACCATTTTGCTAATAAATGAAAGTACAAGTTCGCCTGGTACGTGTTTCCAGTAAATTACTTTTATAAAGTGTGGAGACCAAAGATTTTTCTAGGGAAAAACATTAAACATCTCAGCAAGGAAAAAGCCATATCCTTGAAGCTGTTTCAAGGTTGTACAGCTTCAAGAAATTTCTCATACACCTGCCTAGCAGACAAATCCTCCACCTCGTTCAAAATCATGGAAAATTAGGATTAACATTTGCTTATGAAGAGAATAAAACCTTGAATGAATGAATGAGATAATGCTGCCAACTCATAAATCAGAACTTGGCCTAGTGATTTATCATTCCATCTTCCACATAGAATTTTTTTTTCATTTCTCAAATTGCAATCCAAAGGGCCAGATCCCCACCCCCACTTCCCCCAGGCGCAGCGCTAAAGCTCAATCAAATATTAGGATTCTCTATCACCCCTGCTAGTCCCAAAGTGGTTTCCAGCAAACTGTGTGTCGCCATCGATGGATTGATATATTGTTGCCTTGATTTCCAGTAGACTGAGGTGTCATCATTCTGATTTCTGGCAGATTAAGGGTCATTCCTCTATTTTCTGATATCTGTTACCTTCTAAATTACAAGCTCTCTAAATTATGAATATTTGTTAAAATTTGTTTTTAATAAATTACGTGTTATATCTGTATACAATGTCCTTTATTCTCATAAAAGTGTTATTATTTACTAAGTTTGTAAACTCATTCTTATTTTTTTCTAGATTCAGAGTTCTTAGTCCGATAGATCCTGCGGCTTAAGAGGGGTCTGTCTTATTCTGCTATCTTTTTATTTTAGATTTGAAAAACTTAGTTATTCAGTATCTGTTAAACTTTATATTTCTAGGATTTTAGAATGCTTTAGTTGACTACAGACGATTTTCGATTATGTGTTGACAACTCAGTTATTATTGTTTGAATTATATTTGTTTTGTTTTATATCAAATTTTGTTTTCAATTAATTTTCATATTTTTCCATTAAACTTTTGAGGTTGGGATTTATTCTGACTTTAAAGCGATCCAATTTCCAAGTCGTGACAAATTAATGCCATTAATTTTGGACCCTCTTCTTCTTTTATAGTTTAATTAGATTTTAATCATTGTTTGTTTATATGCTTTAAAAATTAATTTTCAGTTGATATTTGTCTTTTTATTTTAATTAAAATAACTGAAAAATATCTATTATCTATTATATATAATATGTTTTGTATATTATGAAAATTTTATGAGTATTATTAAAATATTATTTTCATCATTTACATTTTTTGTAAATTTTTTTATAATCTCAACATTGTATAGCTGTATAAAAAAATGTCATAAGAAATGTTCTTTTTTATATGAAAGTTAATTAGGTTTATCTCAATTAATGAAGTATAATTGTTTAATTTAAGATAAAAATAAGGAGTACAGTTCTTATTTCAATAATAATTTTGTATATTTATTTGTACAATCACTTTGATTTTCTAAAATACAAAGGATAAAGTTTTTATGCAATAATTTATAATTATATTTGGTATTTGTTCTATTTAAAATCTTACTTTAATTTTATGCCTTGTGTAGTACGTGGACAAAATGGATCATATTATATATTAAATATAGTATAATAGAATATAATATAAAATTAAGTCAAGAGAAGTGCCAAATGGATTCATATTATATATTAAATATAGTATAATATAATATATATAAAATTAAGTCAAGAGAAGTGCCACATGGAATCTACATGGATAACTTTACAATTTTTATTTTTCCTTTTTATATTTTCAAGTGTATTAAATAAATATGTGTAATAAGTAAATTCAAGTGATAGGCACCGGACTTTATGCATAAAGTGAATTTGTTGCCCAGTTAATTTACCACACACACAAACACTGACAATAACATAACCAAAAAAATAAAAGTTTCACTCATTTTCCATTTCTAAAATATAAAAATTACTTTAGAATAAATGAAATTAACTTTAATCCAACACATGGTAAAAGAGTGAATATATTCATTTTCTAATCATCACATCTCCTTCTATCTTCGAATCACCTTCAATCTCATTGAAGCAATATTCCATCAAGGAATCACAATTCAATTTTCACAAATTTCGCACATATCCATCTTAGTCTCTCAATTTCACTATCCATCTCTTAATAACTTTATCCCTACTACTCTTTTCACTCTTTATCCCTACTACTCTTTTCACATCCTCTAATTTGCTAATTAAAGAAACTCCACATCGATATTGATCAAGAAGTGAGGAGAAGCAAGAGTGACATCAACAACAATGAAACGGGTCACGACAATGTTACAAATTGATTAATGGTGAGAATTAGGGGCAAGATGTTGTTTCTTGACCATTACATCAGTGATTCAATATTCATTAAATCAATATCAATACCAATATTTAATATTAATCTAATAAATATTAAAATCAACAAACCATTAGATCCAAACCTGACGTCAAATATATGAGAGTAAGTATATAACACCCATCCATCCTTATCTTTATTTACCATCTATAAATGAGAAATTCAACCCTCCAACTTTAATTACAATATTGCCCTTTAAAACCTTTCAATATATTCTCCTATACGGGAGAGCCTATGCTCCATTCGCATACTGAACGATGATTAGATAGGTGGGGCATGACGAATGTTGACCAGAAAGCCAGCTCCGCGGTTATCACATTAAGTTCAGATGGCAAAGTAAGACCAGAGTGAAAGTAAAAGGGAATAACTGAGACCAGAATGAAATTAAATAGGACTATCACTACCTCATTCGGCATATAAAAATGGCGCAACTTATACCTCATTTGGCACAACTTTTCTGATTTTGCAGTACAAGTAATATATGGAAAATCAGTAACTCTGTGTCATTTATGGCAGAGCAACATCAAAAACCACACAAGAAGGTGCACTGTCTGAGATGATGCTACCGTTTCTTCATAACTCTCTGTTGGCTCCATTGCGTACTACTCAATCGTCCCCATTCACTAAACTGGTATAATTTCTACTAGTTTAGACAAGGAAAGCAGTAAAAACATGCAACCATTCCATTCACTAAACTGATGACAATTTCTACTAGTTAGACTACAAAAAGCAGTAAAGACATTGTCTTCAAAGGCCACAACAATTTCTCTTCAGTCCTCTGTGGCTAACCCTCGTCTCCGTTGCATAATTGCAGTTATTCAACTGAAGGAACAGTTAGATCATTTTCCCGCAAACTCCAGCATACGACCAAATGCAATCTACAGTTTTTTTCACCCCTTTCAGAATCTCACAGATTTAAGAATGCACCATGAAAGTACAAGTTCCTATGGTACAACATGTGTTTCCAGTAAATTACTTATATCAAATGTTGAGACCAAGATTTTTTTTGAGAGGAAAAACATCAAACAGCTCAGCAAGGAAAAAACATATCCTTAAAGCCGTTTCAAGGTTGTACAGCTTCAAGAAGTTTCTCGTACACCTGCCTAGCAGACAAATCCTCCACCTGGTTCAAAATCATGGGAAAATTAGGATTAATATTTGCTTATTAAAAGAGAGGGAAACCAGAATAAATGAGATATATACAGCCAACTAATTAATGGGAACTTGGCCTTGGCCCAGGCCTAGTGATTTATCAATCCATCTTCCATACAATTTTTCATTTCTCAGAAATTGCAATCCAGAAGGCCAGATGCCCCCTGCCACAGCTCAAACTTGAGATCAACCACACAAAACAGTAGGGTTCTCGATCACCCATGCTAGTCCCCAAGTGGTTCCCACACTAAAGGTTAGAGGCTCAAATTGGTCCCAACATGGCATGGGGAAAATTTTTTTGCCTTCTTCAAAGGCTTTCTTTCTAATATGTTAACATCGCAGCCCCTCTTGAGAGGGTTTTTCCATTTACTGTGGTGCATCCACATGGTGTAAATGGGAGGATTATTCCCTATCATACAATTCAATCAGCTGTTTTGTATATAAATGCTATAATGGTGGTGAATCTATCAATGTCTCCAAAGTTGATACCAGATAACAGTCTTTGATAATTCAAGAGATTTTATACTTTAACTTTTCATCAAGCTAAAAGAGATCACTTTACCTCTGAACATAATGATTATAACATCCTCCTTATAATGAAACAGATTTAAATATACAACATCACCTTAATGACCATCATCTTGCACAAAAATAAAGCCAAGAAAAATTTTTTTACATTGCTTGTGGGGCGGGGAGATGGGGGGATTAACTCATGATTAAAATGAGAACATGGTACTGCAGCTGTGTCAAGTCATAAGAGACACTCGTATGTATCACTAGCTGAGTTACTGTGCTAAATGTGGCACTATTTAAGACAAGAATGCAAAGTCAAAGCAGACATGCACACAGTTATGGGTACAGGACCAAAATTTTACATACCACAAGAAGCTTTGATTTGTTATTCCACCCTCTCTGAAGGGTCATCTGGCTAAGTCTCAGTCCCAGCACCTGTAAAGAAGTAAATACACAATTCATATCTCAGCTATTCATTAAGATTTTGGTATTTGGTTTTCTAGATGCATACTTTGCCCATGAATTCAAGAAGTTCATTATTGGCTTCCCCACGGGCCGCTGGTGCAGCTACAGTCACTCGAACATCATCAGCATAACCTGGTTACAAATATGTAGTCTCACAGTCAATCGCAAAATACTTGTTAATTTTATCTCATACAAGCAGAAATGAAAAATTTTGGAGGATAAGAAGCTGTATAGGTGTACCAACCAAAACTATTAACTATAATTTACATATGCAAAACAATAAATGGATAACTGCATTTCACTCAGAGAAAATCATATCATCCAATTAGAGGATTTCCATGCTGAAAATCCCAATAAACAAGGTGTAAAAAAAGCCAGTCCATTTCCAGTTCCCAATAACTGATAGCAAGAAGTTCCCTATCTCTATTTCCGAATCACGACTTCTTAAATCTAGAGGTGGAAATAATGAGAAACCAATGTCACACTTCATACATCCACTCCTTTGATTGTGTACTGAAATAAGGGAGGCTCACTTCCAGTTGCTAGGACCGAGGCTTGTTGATCAAGTATTAATAACTACTTCGTATAAAATATTGTGACCTAGACAAATTTTGGGAGAAAAAATAAGACTTTTGGGGGGGGGGGGGGGGGGGGGGGGGGGGGTTTGGTGACGGTGACAATGGTCAGCCAACTGAATTTGATGATTCTGCATGTGAATTTGATTAGTCAACTGAATTTGCATAACCATTGTAGTCCAAGCAGACACAGATTTCCAACTGCCAGTATTTGGAAATAAAATGCACCCAAAAGTGGTGCTTATCAAAGAAGATTTAGACAAGAAGGAATCCATTTAAGAATCAGTTTACTTGTGATAGCTGATCGCTGTGCACGGTCTTCCACTTCTATTGCCACTTGAACAAGCCCCCTTCTAATTGTGAAATGCAGGGTGGTACAGGCGCATCCTAGAGCATAGGTGAAAACACAAAATAATAAGATCCTGAATTGATTGACAGAAGTATGAAAGAAGAAAAACCAAACACCATTCCCAAAAAAGCTTAAATGTATGAACACTGATGTCTACAGCAATGATAACAAGAAGTCAGTCAATAACAAAAGCATTAATAGTTTTCAGTTCATTGACTGGAAGAGACATATGGTCAAGACATTATGCCATTACTGATCGGTATTGATTACCTGGGGGTTTGGTTTCAGCAGCAACTGTACTAAGTGCACCATCAACAACATAAATGGAGGAGGCAAATTCCAACTCTTCCTCTGAGCGATAGCAAACAAACAGCCCACATCCCATACAGTTCATGCGGAACTGCTTCTCGAATTTACCTTCCCCACTGGATAAAGAATAATAGTTAGTTTAAGCTTAATAATAGAAGCATGGATGCAGACTTGGACACAGTGTCTGACATGACACAAACACAGGCCTGAATACATCGTAACAATAACTTCGAAAATATTAGAACATAAACACAGTGGAACACAGTTAAAACATCTACTAATTTTTAGTAAATATATTCATTATGTTTATAATAAGCGTAACATTCTAAAATGGCAAGAAATAACATAAATACCCAATCTTCAAACTGATCAATTTGTGCCTATACACCACTCTACATGAACCAAAAATCATTATAAATTTATAACAATTATCACGTTCCTTTATTACCTAATTGTATGTGATATATGTGTTTACTTTCATATTATATCTCATAAAAAATGTTGGGTGAATCTTATTTAATATTGAAATGCGTGTTTATGTGCTAAAGCACATGTCCAAGTATAGGAACACAGATGTTTGAGTAAAAGGACATGCATGCCGAAATGGAAAAGCAAAATAGAAAACTAGACACATCACATGGTATGTGTCCGATACAGTCTTGGTGTGCATCAGGTATATGTGTATATGTAACGGAAAAGGATACTGATGCAATCCAAAATTCAGGGAATACTTGTAACTTTAAAATTTATTAGTACTTCAGTTTTTCGAAAATTAATGTATTTATGTATTTTTTGTTTTTTGAATGTTTTATTTCCTAAGCTGTGAGGACTGTCCATATCACCTCCACACTTACTAGGCCACAAAGCAAGTAAATAGCTGGCCATGTAAATATCATTTATTAGTACTTCAGTTTTTCGAAAATTAATGTATTTATGTATTTTTTGTTTTTTGAATGTTTTATTTCCTAAGCTGTGAGGACTGTCCATATCACCTCCACACAACTTACTAGGCCACAAAGCAAGTAAATAGCTGGCCATGTAAATATCTTCTTCTTCTTCTTCTTCCTCTTCTTCCCTGAAAGTTCTACCTGCTGCTGTTTTTCTTCTTGCCTTATTATTCTATTTGCTGCACCTGTTGTTGTCTTCTCTTCTTCTCTTCTTCTTCTACTTGCTGAATCTTCTCCCTTCCTCTCCTTAATCTCCATTCACCAAATATCCCAAATTTCTCCTTCTCCGGCTGTTGTTTGCTGCTCCCCACCATCTATTTACTTAGATTCAAGATCTAGCCTACCATATCTTTATAGTTACTGGTTACTTCAAGATTTATTAAGATTTTTTATTATTATTTCAAGAACATTATAAATATATGTTGTAAGAATTCTTTGGTTTTATTTTATTTAGTATTTCGAAAACAAGGTTTATGTGGTACTGAGATTAAATTGAGTTTCCATGTGATTGATTTCATCTATTAAGCAATTTCTACAAATTCCCAGCAGCAATATTTTTGAAACCTAAGATTCCTCAGATTACATTAGATACATGGCACCAAATGAAGTGTCAGTGCCTCCTACAACTTAAACAATGAGAGTTTTTCTTCCCCTATCTTTTCTTATCTTGATGAATAAACCATACCAAAGGAAACACAGACACAGCATTACTCAACTCCAAAATGTGAACATGAGGGAGCTGATCAGTCATATGACTCATAACCCTGCGTTTTCATTTCCAGAGAAGTCTACATCTTGATACCTTCCTGCAGTAGTCAAATCCACTATCAACTCCCCAACAAAAAACTTCAACATAGAAAGGATACTGGTATGCAATCATCAAGTTACATACTCAACAATTTGGCCACACTACAAGGACATAAATTCCTAGTACAGTGGACTAAAAAAAATCTTATATACCAGCTACTTTTGAGGTTTATTTTAATGTCAACCAAAAGAGAGAGAGCTTTTACCATTAAAAGATTAGCATCCACATACCACTGCAATTTTTAAGTTACAAATTTCAAATATGCATTTATGTCACTTCTCAGAATTCATTATTATAAATCATTACTAACTTCAGGCTCTTTAGGAAGCTTTCCTATCTTAAAAATAATCTAGATTATTTTAAATGCATCAAAAGTAATTACTGAAATAATCATTTTCATATTTAACCACTCAGCTATAATTGATTTCAAAAACACTAATGGGAACTTCTTTTCCCTTGTTTGATAAGCCCACTCAAATTCACAACCATCATCCCCTTGCCTTCACAATTAATTGTTACACCATGCAACTAGCAAGCTAAATAGTGTAACAGGGATACAGAAATTTGGAAGTTGCATATTTGACTGATGCTAATATATATATATATATATATATACACATACACACACACACACACACACACACCCACAGATATAAAAATAAATGCATCCTCAAACATTTCCAACAATAAATATGAGCCTCCCTCATGCACAAGGTGAGGCTAGAAGAATGTGGATAACACTATAATTTCCTGGGCAGTACAAAAGGACATGAAAGTCATAGGCACAAGCACCAGCCAAGTTACTATCTATGAGGAGATGAATTTACACACAAAATGTTATCGCTTTTAATGTTAGCCTATTCCAACCCCATTTTTCTTCGCTGATACCACAAGCAGTTTTCCATGTTTCCAAACCTTAAATCTGCAAGTTTCTATTAGCAGATCCCAGTCCAGCAACCGTTTATATTGCATCAAAGGTGCAAAAACATAATCCTGTTAAAGATATAAGTGAGACATCTTGACTGGCGCTTATCGGTCTTAGACATGTACATGTACATCCTAGTTCACATGTTAAATTTACATGACACTAGGTAAAAACTTTTAACAACATAAAACTAGAAAGAGCTACATCTTAACAAGTAGAAGAATCCTTGCTTTCGTAATATATGCTATTCACTTAACTCTCTCTGAAGTTATTACAAAACTGCAAAAACGTTACAAGAGATTCCAAAAGTACAACAAACAATAAAGTGATGAACAAAATCTAAGATATCATCAAGAGAGAATTACCGCTTTAAAAGAACTTTTCCCGCCTCATCTACATTAAGCCTGGCAAGATGCTTATTCTTGTCCAATACATATGCTTTATCAGTTTTCCTTTTAGGCATTTTCTGCAATTGGGTATCTTATAAAAAAACATATTTTAGCAGGCAAAAGGGGCTACAACATTGAAGCACAAGAGGTAAAAAGCTATAGCACAGACAATAGTATCTGATACCACCATAGAATAGTGATTTTCTGTCACTCCCAACAGATAAACTACATAGAGACAATGTAGCACTTTTCATAGGGCAGTCCTCAGAATTAAAACAAGAAATTGAGAGGACACTTCAAATCCAGTGTAAACATAATGTTCATAAAAATACAAGAATAATATCACAAAACATGTGGTAGGAAATCCAGTTTCAGTAAAGTTGTAGAATGTAACCTTCTAATGCATCTTTACTGCTCTATACACACTAACAATTTACATTTACACAAACTGGCCAATGTAATAGTCAGGTGGTCTTTTTGTGCTTCATATAATTTATAAGACTAATTCAGCTACTCCTGAATTGCTATCATAATTTCATAACGTAGTAGGTCAATCATTTTGAAATTTATGTTGCTTCTCCGGGTAAAGACTTGACCCATTTCTTAGCATAATTGGTCAGACTTAGAAGATTTAGAAGGGGAAAGTCAAAGTCTTACAGCACAAGGGATGGATCGGTTGTAATATTCCAAGTTTGATTAGAGTAAGTCGTAAGTCTGATATTGGTTACACTTTTTCCCCACACAGACAAAATTATTAAACTTGATCTTGAATTTTAACAAATTTTATTTAATACTTCCATTGGAGATCCAAAAAAAAAAAAAAACTCTCAATTAAAAATTCCAAACCATCTAATTGTTTTGATAAAGAAATTGCATAAACAATTACATTGCTTTTGCATTCTAAAACATTCCTTACACTACGACCTGGAGCTTAATTTGGCAGAGTGCTTCAATGATTTACAACTTCAAAAAAGGATAGGGGTTTTTGGAATTAATGAGGATGAAAGAACAGGCACACACAGCTTACATGGCTTCAAAGAAGAGTTAAAATTTTATTAGAAGGGAAAGAAAAGAGAAAAATAAAAGGGGGAAATCCATGGTAAGTAAAAACCGATATTTTCTGTATCTTTGGAATCAAGGGAGAACATATATTGTGCATAAAGTCAAACACACTAGTAATCTAGGCAGAATTAAGATGATTTTGAAACCTAAAATGAAATGATATATAAGGAATAGCAGAGAGAGAAGCAAACCAGTGATTAAGACATGAGATCCACAGTACTTGCAGTAGTATACAAAGAGATCAGAATCATGACCATCCGGTACTGCGTCCTCGCTCGAGTAAGTATGCGTCGTCCTCTTCGGCATCCTCTCTCTCTCAGTTTTTCTTCTCTACCTAGTTCAGTACCAAGACGACGGTACTAAGCGCCAGCCAAAACCAAGAAAAATCGAACTCTATTGTGTATGATGGACCCAATACTAGGCTGCCCGCGCCTTCTTTTCCTTTGGAAAAGAAAACCCAAATCCAAGCCCATATTTGTAGAATGGCCGACTCCGGCATGGAAGGTCGGGCCGCCCGCCCCGGGCCCGATCCTGATAGGACGGTTGGCGTCCTAAACGGTTTTTTGGGAAAATTTCAGAACCCGCATCAATTGATAAAATATGTATTATTGGAATACCTAATGGATTAAGGTTATGATCAACGAAAAACTCCATCTTACAGTTTGAATGAAATTTAAAA